CCTGAACCTGAGGGAGCCCCCAATACGACAGCGTTGGATAGAACCGCCCGGGAGAGGCTGCTAAATTCTCAGGGCCAAAACAGGCTGCCCAAAAGGAGAAGGACTAAGATGGCGATCTGTACTGTCAACGTACGGACGCTTGCTTCGGAAGCGTGTAGGTGTTCCCGTCAACACGCACTTGGCCATGAACATTGATTTGTACGAAGGCTTGACAACTCGAATCGGACGCTTGCGAATGAGAAGATGTGTCTCAACCCCAGCTCCAACAATCTTCTTTGTTTACGCACCAACATCGAGCTACGATGAAGAAGAGCTGGAGGCGTTCTGTATGGATCTGGAGCTCTACAGAGAAGACCATACTTTCTTCAAGGACATAGTCGGTGATTTGGCTCCAGAAGAACGGCTGAAGAGCTCCACATCGGGATTCACGGAATGCATCGGAATGAGGAAGGCTATCTGAGTTTAGCCTGTCGACCCACGCTATCCATGGTAACTCGCAGTTCTTAAAGCCCTCTCATTTCCGATGGACATGGGAGTCGCTTAGTGGGTAGTTCCATAATGAAATAGATCAAATCATCGTCAATCGGAAGTTTTGTCTGACTGTCGCCGCTGTTGTTAAGAAGTTCTACACGGGATCATACCATCGGCTCCTCCGCGCTAGATTCCGCTTTTCAATGCGTGGAGAGAGAACTGCGAAGTTCAGGAAACGAAGCTCCAAGACTGTGGTCAACTGTGATCACTTCGCCTCATTGGCGAGTTTGTGGGAAGATTCCGTCAGCGACAACATTGATGAAGAATACGACCGGCTCGTCGAACATCTTCACGATGGCGCCAGAAGAGCTGAGAGCCTCAAAGATGTCAAGAAACGTCTCTCTTCGAAGACTCCTGAGCTGGTACGCCAGCGGGAAATCGCGCGAGCTGCAGGCAATAACCAGCTAACGTCCGATCTTGCGAAGCAATGCAGAGAAGCGATAAAGGAAGACCTGAATGAGAGAAGAGCAACAGATTTGGCTGAAGCCGCCGAGGCTGGGAAGAGCATTCGCAAAGCCCGCCGGATTATTATTATTATCAATTATGAGACCAAGACGACTTCCCTTCGTGGTGCTGACGGAACTGTTACGGCATCCCGAAGGGCAATGGAGAAGGTCATCTACGACTTCCATTCTGATTTCTTCGACAGCCACGTCATGCCTACCTACCATCTGAGGCAAAACGCATACGTTGTCCTTTCAGTTCACCCTTCCGAAATTCGACATGCCATCACGTCGATGAGAAATGGTATAGCACCCGGTCCCGACAGGATCAATGCAGAATACCTAAGAGCCTTCGCCAGTCATTGTCAAAACCTTAGTCCGGCTTTTCACGCGGCCTGTTGCAATGCAAAGTGCCCATTTCATAAGAAGGGAGATCCAGACGACATTGGCAATTATCGCCCAATCTGCCTGCTGTCTGTAATCTATAAACTCTTCACACGAGTCATCCTTAACAGGATTGGCAGAATGTTAGATGAAGGGCAGTCATGCGAGCAAGCAGGGTTTCGGAGAGGGTTCAGTACAGCTGATCCCATCCACACTGTTAAAAGACTCATTGAAGTATCGCGGTGGTACAAAACGTCGTTATGTCTTACCTTCATCGATTTGAAGAAAGCCTTTGAAACCGTTGAGATAGAAGCGGTAATTGAAGCCCTGGGCAACCAGGGTGTCCCTACTCAATATGTAAGAATGCTTCGTGGCTCTATAACGACTTGACCAGGATTTCGTCATTGTATCTAGAAGTCATGCTCAACATGAAGAGAGGGGTTCGACAGGGCGATACCATCTCGCCCAAACTTTTCAGTGCCGCTCTCGAGAACGTCATGCGTCATATGAAATGTGAAAGCATGGCGGTCGCTACTTACATCATCTTTGCTTTGCGGATGACATCGTGCTTATAACACCCAACATCGAGCAGGCGGAACAATTGCTGGGCGAATCCGACAACGCTTGTGGAGACGCTGGCTTGAGACTGCACTTGACGAAGACGATGTTCATGCGAAGCGGATTGGTACCTGTTGCTCCTTTCATGGTGAACGGAACGAATATCTCTGAGTGCTCCAGCTATGTGTATCTGGTTCGAAAAGCCAACATGATGAACGACCCAGCTCTGGAGTGAGAAGAAGGAAACGCGCGGCGTGGGGAGCATACAAGAACGTCAGGGGAGTAGTGAAGAAAACGAAGAACACCCTTCTCCGCACCCACCTTTTCGACACTGCGCTCCCTCCTGCTTTGACATACACCTCAGAGACTTGGACTCTACGAAAGCAGGATGAGCATGCAGTTAGCGTACTTAACGCGCTGTGGAATGGACGATGCTCGGAATTTCCCTATACACGCAAGTGCAGATGGGAATCCGGAGTTCCGAGCTCCGTCGACTAACGAAGATCAGGAATGCCGTTGATTACGCCAAGAGATCGAAGATGCGATGTAATGATGACCGTTGGACCAGGGCGGTTACGGACTGCATCCCTCGGGTTGTCAAGCGAACACCAGGACGGCCGCCAACGAGATGGTCAGACTTTTTCGCGAAAGCCCTGAACGAAAGGAATGCTTTGCCCCGCGTCCCTCGAGCGAGTGTGATTCACTGGATTACTCTGGCTCGCACATGGACGAATGGAGACGTTACTGGCGCCCGCTCGAGGAAATCGACAATCAACGGGAGTACAGGTGATGCAGGTGATACACCGGGGGTCACTTAGTAATTTTGAGAAGGAATTCCTCGGAAATGTTTTTATCGTGAACTGTGCCCTCAATGCTAAAAAGGTACAAGGAACTCAAAAGGGAACGCGACGATTCGATCATGAAGATCGTCTGCTAAAAATGATTAATGAAACAAAATGTAACGCACCATCTCAGAATGCGCGTGGTGAGGTGAGGCAACAGGCACACAATCATCTGGATCAGCGTAGGAATGATGCTGAGCCATGAGAGCCTTCTCGCCTGTTTTCTTAACGACTATTTGCTTGTTCTTCACGTTCCTGAGGACTGATGCATGAACATCTGTGTGTAGACGTTGAGCATTCTTTCCTTCTCTCGGCTCCTAAGAATTTCTTTTTTACAAAAAAGGAACGCAAGATCAAATGTGAATCATCACACCGCTGGATATGTGCTTGGGTGGAATGCATCGGCCTGTTCCACATCTAGAACATTCATGAAGGTTGAGTTTCTCTCTTCGGGATCAGGTGGCAAATATAACCACTGAAAATTAGTAAACTTGTGTATACGCCGACTTCTGGTCTGAGGCCACTTAGCAAGTACAGACAAGCTTATCGAAGATCTGCAATAGTGAGAGGCATTCATCTGTGAGTGCAGCGTCGATCGGATTCATGCATAGCTGAAAAAAAAACATTGTAACTACCAGAAGGCTGGATACTGCGAAGAATTGATGGAATCAAGAAAACGAGCAGTGTAGGCCAGATGAGCTCGTCAGTCTACCATTTTGCGAATCCGGAAATAATCTATTGTCTGACCGTTCTAATTTCATTGGCAAACTCTTCCGCATTGGCGTATTGTCTGTGATTCAGCTTCTTCTTGACGGTTGGTAGTTCAATGAGCCAGTTGATCGGCTTAAAATGTATTATGACGATTGCACAAACATGGATCAAGAACAACTCAGTGAAACACATTTAGCATGGAATATCAGATTAGACATCAGTGAGAAGAGTTATACGCTGCGAATCTTGACATTTACTGACACCGTTTTGCCGGCTGTTGTGCAGTAGAAACGAAATTGTAGTTTCGCGGCGAGGGAGACGCTGCGTGCAAAGGAATGTAGCAGAGTGCAGCAGCAAGTAGGAAATACAGAAACAACAGAACTACAGTAGAATCATGCCAAAAGTAATAATCGCATAGCGATTGAGCTGAATGAAGAACGACGGACTGTAATAACGAGGCAAATGGTTCGCGATAGTCGCGTGCGGCGGATCGATCACACAAAACCGTTCCCACAGCCCGACTACCCATTTTTCCGTTTCTTGTGAGTTCTGCCTTTAACGCAGTTCGCAATTAACCAGTTTACCTCGTATTTCGAATTCAGAAGCTCGTTGATGACGTAGTCACAAAATCTCATCGATGGAGAAGGAAGCCCGGCATATTTTGGCGGCAGTTTGGAGAAGTCCTTCTGCTCGACCTGCTTTTTTCTAAGACGATTTGACGAGCGTCTAGGCAGCTGGAATACATTCAGTCGAAGGAGCGCCGTACAGGTAGGACAAAATCTATGTGCATAGATATAATGTATTCTTTCTTGACTGACTCCTCATTCCCGAAGTTCTGAGGTGAATCATACTCACCGAACTGACGTTTACGCTTGTAGTGTATGCATCGGCTGGAGCTCTTCGCTTTCTTGGTGCACGAGCGGTTGAAGACGAATTTTGAAATACGGTAAACTTAGCCACCCAGCATGATTTGACCAGGTTTTATCTTACCATAGAATTTTGAATTGGGACCTTTACATATCGACTGAGTTTTGGATGTTGTCTACGAGTACATAAGCCAGATATGCTGAATGAGCTTTTCAAGAATGCTATAAGCGCTCAATCTGATCAAACGTTGGAGGTGGTGCGACATCTGCATACAGATGTCTGGGTGTCTCGCACATGAGGGCAATATACATCAGCTCGGCCTCAGGGCACCAACCAAAAGTACCTCAAAATGGGAGAAATTACCCACTTACAGTTGTGAGACAGAATTTATACACTCCAATCCTCCGTCTTCACCCTGTAAGTCCGCTGGATTGACGGCCAGCGCCGATGATGGAGTGCTGACGCTTACACCATGAATGCACACAGTGGAAGGGCGATTTTAGGCATTCTGATCTACTGTAGCTAGATCTGTAAGCAACTGCACCAACTAACAACTCCTTCAAGTACCCCTTTCAGCCACTTATGTCGTGATAGCCTCGTGTGACCACCTCTTCTCACAACTTGTATGTTACCCTATATTTCTTGAAACTATCTGATTTCTGCTCTTTCTTCGCCACCTTTGCCCTGTTTTTTGTCACATATCTTCTATTACTCCACTAAGCACTAAGACCAGCCAAATAAGACTATCGTGATCTGTGCTTTAAAGTGGAAGGGGATGATAAGCAGCCATAGAGGTAGCTGATTCTGATGAACTAATGGAAGGTACGAAAGGAAGGAAAAGGGCCTTGAGCACTCAAACCCTTAATTCAGTGGACTTTCAACACATTGATGGATAATGTGAAATGTGACGGGGCTGTAGATGGTCGGCGTTGAGACTTGGTAATCCATTACTATTCGAAAGACGCTTGCGCCTGTCTGTTTATCTGCCTGTCTGTCTGTTTATTTGTCTCTCAAGGAATTCGACACTGTCTAAGAGGGATGGTGTGAAAATAGTAATAATACAGTCGTATGTCCACTTTAAATTGAAGAAACTATATTTACTACCAGCCTAATGAATACTTAGCTAATACTTTAAAAATAAAAACCTTTTTGGAAGCTGTTCTCCTTTTCTTCAATGTAGCTTTCTTCTTCTTTTTGATAGGCGACATAGGACTAGAGCTTCCTTCCCAAGAATCGCTTTCTACACCAAGACGGTCTTCATACGACTAAAAATGAGCCAAAAGTCTTTCAATGCTCTTGAAACGTATGTTGTCTGCATCATGCAAGAAATCATTTTTCTGAGGCTTATCTATTTCGAAGTGCTTATAGGTCCGAGATAGGATCTACAGTAAAAGAGGTAGGTGCAAATGCTGGGCGAAAACCAGCAGTGGAGCTCACATCAGAAGGTAAGCTCAGATTTTTGGTGTATTCGGGCTGTCACTCATAAATTAGCCTATTTCCGCTTAGGTTTCCCTGCGTATTTTGTTTTCAGGCGTTTTATTCAATGAACGGATATAAGTAGAGACTAAAACCTATGGGTGATTCGGTTTTTGTAAATGAGAACAATGTTACGACTCGACAGACCGACTCTTCCTTAACGCGTTGATGGTCTCGTATTAGACCACGTATAGATCAGTTCCTATTGTCAGAGAAGCAAGGTGCTACCTAGTGGGCTTATTTTCGCTCTGATCTCCGTTATTCACTGTAATGGTAAACACTGTAGAGACTGTTTCAGTGTTGTCTATGCCATTTAGATAAACGGTACGTGGTATGGGCTTTGTTGGACATGAGTCACGACCTGAGGCCAGTATTTGCGAATATAAATGTCCCTCTGTCCCTTTCCAATTTGGATGCTATGGCACTGTAGAACATGAGGCATGAATTTGCGGCCAAATTCACACCCACTTTCGACATATCCAGCGGACCCCCCGCCCGTCATGGGCTCAGGCCATGTGTTTTCAAGTAACCTGGTCCACCCTGGTCCATTACCCTCTTTTTTGACTTTATTTAAACATGGGTGTGCTAATTCCCCTTGGATCAGACTGCCCTCATTTTACGCCCGCTGCGCCCTGCATTCCCTCTCCCCCTTCCCCGCGAGCGAGATACAGCCCGATCACTTTCTAGAACCAGTATTTCTACCCTGCCATTATACTTTACCAAGCTTAAACCTTCTAGGACAACGGTAACAGAACCTTCGTTCAAACACACACACATGAAAACACACACACCCAATCTCGGTCTCATTTCCCTGAGAGAGAAGTGAGAGTCACTATATATCGAATACCAACTGTACTGCTCTGTACATGCCGAGCTCCACTTCCTCATGACCGAACGTATGAAGCATTCCAACATTCCCCTCAAGAGACGTAGCAATCATGAGTATCTACTCCGAAAAAGTAATGAGGTGGCGGCACTTCTTCCCGAATTCCCACGATAAACGGCAGCCGTTCCGCGGCGACTACTGTATCCCTCAAAAAAGAAATTCAAACCTTTCCCTTCATAGCGCGCGATAGACTACGCTCTATCGGACGGCGAGCGCGACGCGCCGTTCGGAGAGAGGTTACCACACCCANAGGGATGATGGATAAACCGAACACGCCTTCCTTCTTTCATGAAGCAATATCAAGGTAAGCTGCCTTGTTCATAATCATCTCGATTTCACAAGAATTCATTTCATATGCTTTCTAGAACCTACATATGCAGTGAGCAGCAATCATAGATTGTGCGTACTGTGCGTCCGTGAGATTCGAATTTTCACTTTGAGAGCTCGACTGGCCTTACAAATTCGAATTACCTGATCCTGATCCTTTGGGGATTCTATGCTCTCTATCTGCTCCAGAAGAGCACCTGATTCCATTGCATTCGCCATTCCTTGCCCAAATTCGCAGTGGCACCACAAGAACGGCTCGGCCTTCTCTCGTAATTCTAGAAAAGTTGAAAAAGAAATAATAGCAAAATCAAGCCCTAAAAGAATCACGACATCAACAAAGTCTCCATTTCTCATAATACAGAAATGGAAATGGAAATAAAATTGGAACTGAGTTACTGCGTTTCAGAAAAACGACAATCAAATTANTCCTCATAAAGGATAAAGGGTGAAGTTTTTGACATTAATCAATTCCGTCTGAGGGATGCGCCCCACCCTCGATATCCTTTCAAAATCGTAGTGGCGTAATAAGTGCGTGTGTGGCTTATACAATGACGGTGCCTAGTGCGGTAGCCAGCCGATGTACAAGTCAATGCTTTTATCCTCCCAAACAATCTGGTACCGATTAAGCGACCCCGGAGGGATGGAAAGCTTAGTTGGCTCAGTCGTCATTGCCATGCAAAAGACTAGAACGGAAGAATTGCCGGGGAAATAATAAAAGGAATAGAATTCAGTGAAGTTGTTCTAGCTGAACATTTGTTAGCTATAATGAAAATCGGAGAGAAATGCCTACTATAACATAGGGCAGACGGGACAGGACTGTTTATTCTCCTCTAATGGCAGCAGTATGTGCAAACGGGTACAGTTGTCGGTCATAGTATACGAGTGAATCCGCTGTCCTCACGTAGCACCGTAAAATGTCCTACGGCAAGGGAAACTACCTGCACAGTCCCCTAGAGAATCCAAAGCCTTTCGAATACTCAGCTCTGGATCAATCTTTATCGTTGAATTGATCTCAATCTTTTCTTTCTATCTCAAGAATCTTAGAGTTAGAAGAATATTTGGTAGCACATATTAATTTAATCTGAGAGTAGGCGTGAGTCACATGACTTATACGCACCTTCATTCTCTTTCTTCACACATCTTCTTGTATGGTTGATCGACATTAAGGATCTCGAGAAAGTTATTGAAGAGCAACAAAAGCAGACACATGCGACGCCTCACATAAAGGCACAGTTCACGATAATTTTTGGAATCCAGATTATGACGAAAAATGGAAGAAACAAAGGGAAATAGTGCGATTAAGACAAAGGAACTGCTTGAACCGGTGTTTCCAAAGTGAAAAAAGACTTCGAAAAATCGTTAGAAAGGGGGCTGGACGAGAACAAGACCAGAAAAATGAAGAAGAATGGGGTTAGGACGAGCTATAAAATGCGTCCGATTGCGTACGTGTGGGTCCTGGTGCGCATGGCTGATTACGGTGACAAAAATCCACTCACTTATGACATAATTAAAGAGAAAACCTTAGAAGCAGCAAAAATAGCTTACCTTTTTCAGCCTCTTGGGGGAAGGAAATTAAGTAAGGGTTCGAGGCAGCAAAAAGAATAACAGTGAATAAAGGAATAGCAGGAAAACAGCGCCCCATCACTCGGCGACCAGCCGATTGTGTGTGGGTCCTAGAGCGAATATTGCAATATGTATCGCCTCGACACTCGTCTGTCGTGACACGATCGAGGGGCGGAAAGTTCGGGCAATCCGGTAACGGAGCTCCCACTATGCCCTGACCCTTGAGATTTTGGACTCGACAACGCCCTTTCCTGTTGCCCTTGGGGGCCACTGTGTTTTCCTAGAAAGAGATCTCAGAAACCAGTTTTATCGTGAACCGTGCCTTTGAAGCTCATTGCTTGTAAAGAGTGATGAGTGAGCACGAGAGGAAAGAAAGAAGCACCACGTAGCTCAATCAGTTCATTAGCTAATCCGAATACAAGATTCCTCGATTGTAGGTACTTGATTCAAGTAACCAATTGACGACCATGCAGTCCATATTTGGACTGCACTTTTTCGCCCATGTGGAACCGTGCAGTCCACATATGGACTGCTGTTGTATTTTTTGTTTTATTCATCTATATTTCCACTTTTTTACAATTTTTCTTCCCAAACCATTACATCAGGCCTAAAAGAAACTACATACAGTGTGGTTCTGGAAAATCTTCTAATTTTGCAATTGTGAAGGTGTTCTTTACGAAGGAGTACATTACCTTGGTGAACATTTCGTTCGTTGAACAACTTCAAAAAATGAGATGCTTCGAAAAGATGGTCGTCATCAGCATTTTCGCTGTTATCGACCGAATGTAAAGCTCGTAGAAAATCCCCGAAACGATTTCTGGTAATGATTGAACTCATAATTGAATGACCATCAGACTGAGTGCCGGTTATATAATTGAGATCAATAATCACTCAATGTGGGCATTCTTACCAAACCCATCTGAAGGAGTATTTCGGAAAACTTATGTATTTCTCTTATAAACATCGAAAAACGGTCATGCTGGACCATGTAGCTCATATGTGGGCTGCAGTCGCGAGTGGACTAAAAGCGCGCCGGTCCCTCGCGGCGCTTTCCCAGCCGAACGTAATGGCCGTCAATGGGTTAAACAATGTTTGTATCGGAACGTACGGATCTCCATTAGCGGATCCCACGACTTTCGTTTTATGAAAAGCATCATAATGAATATCAACGAGGAGGGCGACAGAATCACACTTTGCAGACCACGCTCTCAAAAAGGTGACAGCAAATGAAGCAAGACGGATTTTGAAGTCCCGTGAATGTCCCATACAGTAACCTGAAGACAGCCCCAAGCGCCTCCAAACAACCGTCACATAGACGAATGACAAAAAAGTACCTTGACCACTGATGGTATTGGGACATTGGGGGTTACTGTATTACACTTTCACGGGACTTTGAAAGTGACCTGCACAGATGAAAGAGATGTAGCAAAGGAGGAAAACCATGCTACCAGTAGATTATTATGAAAGACAAGATATTGATTGCTGGCAGAAGACACGTTGGTAGAACGAGTGTTTTCCAGTTAAGACCTGCCTAGCACGTTAGCCATTCCAGCATGTTCAATAAAAAAATTTTCAAAAACAGCTGTTTCTCAGGCTGCCTTGAGAATTTGCGTTATCACGCTGCCAATTTGGGTTTGCCTGCCATCGTGGGCGAATTAGAAGAGCCTCAGCTCTGCCATCTTAAATAAAGCCTCGCCCCATCATGAACTAGGCAGCACAATACGCAATGACTCGTCGCAAGGAGCGGCAAATCTTCGATATTGGTCTTGCGGCGCCGAATTTCTTCTGATCATTCCATTACAGTAAACACGCTCGACGGTTCGCCACATCCAATCGCGCGCAATGGCGAACTGTGATGGGGACGACTTGCACTTCCACTGGAAGGTTACGGTAAACGCACCTCAACCAACCATCGTCTCCCATCTGAAGTCTTCCACCGTGAAGCATGCGCGGCAATCGCCTGCCTCCAAACCTGTTGTTGGTTGATCCCTGGAACCCGAGGTACCGAAACTTCTCCCCGAATTCCCACGGCAAGCGGCAAAGGTCACACGCGGCTACCCTATCCTTGCACTGGGAATACAAACCACTCTCTTCGAAGAGCGCGACTACGCGTCGGGTGTGGCGAACGCGACGCCGTTTTCGGGGAGAAGATACCGGACCCATAGAACCCGCTCTGCCACACCGTGCTGGTTATTCTTAGCTGGTTCTCACTCCACGCAGTATGCACGTCAACAGTGTAGCAATGCTAAACTCAAGGGGAGTGTTTTAAGAATCCTTATGTTTGGGCACGCATTCTACAATAGCCTGAGCATAATAGCAAACTGTGCAATTGCTCATCTGAGCATAAGGAGTGGTGAAGCAGTTCTTACCAAACTTTTCGACATTGTGCTACTGAATGCAAGAAAAGGGAAGTGGGTACTGTTAGACAAATGTCGTACTGATATACGGTTTCGACTTGAATTCCTGATCTTCTGAAGTTCTACGTAGATTCAGGTCACAGTTCCACTCCTCTAACATTGGTTACCAGATTGACAGCTCTATAAATGTAACACCACGGATCTGGCTGGGCAGGTAAAACGCTACGGCGGATCAGGGGTAAGATCCGCCGTAGCGTTTTACCTGCTCGTCTTCGAATTCTAGTGGTAAGTCGCGAGCTTCCAGCAAACAACTGAAATATTCATTTTCTGTGTAGAGGAAAGCTTGGAGGGTCTGTGACAAAAGCTAGTAACAGCTGAACGAGACTGAGAAGAGGGTACGAGGCGGTAGTGACACTCATTGCGTCCTTCTCCACAGTAATGGATACATTATGTTTCTGAGTCCTATGGTGTTAGAATAGGAATATCGTGCAAGTGGTGAAAAGTAATCACAATCTTCAACAGAGAGAAAAGGCCGTAGAATGCGAAAGTCCTCTAATCCCCAACACTTCTCTGAGATGTTGCGATGTCAGCATAGACGAAAAGCATAGAAAGGTAATAGGATCTGACAAAGAGATAAGAAGTGATGATTCGTTTCATCAGAACCTCTTAGGTCATCCCTATGTCCTGCAGAAGAGATAGGAACCGTTTACGCAAGTCCACATGTTTCGAGCGATTGTTGTCGCCCTGTATGGTTACTTTCTGAGCGCTCTGTTTATAAACAGCTATAAACCTATCCGAAAGCCGGAACTCACGGAACAATAACTATTTCATATGGGGAAGAAGAATACAAGGTAAGAAGAGCAGCAATGGTATCAAAGATACAATTCTTATAACCGCTTCTACCGGTACCACACAGTTCAAACAATTCGAAGTGGATTAACAAAGAAGCCATCGTACAGTAACTGAACATTGACGACATTACACCAGATCCTTCCTTTGTTGTTCTGCCTCCTCACTATTCCCGCATTTACACGGTTGGCCATAATTACAGCGACAAGGATTGCTGCAGTTAGCGTACATTCTATCGCGCACATAGCGCGCCAGTTTCATGGATTTTACAATCTCATCATTTTTTCTAACTTCTTTTGGAATTTGTTCAAATTTGGTCCATTCATAGTGAAATGGTGAGCCTTCTCCTAATCGTTCCGCTATCGTTCGTCTGCACAAAGCCGGCCGCCCACCAGCTACGATCGCTAAGCACCTCGGCAGCCATCGCAGCGTTGTGTATCGCACACTCCAACGCTATCGAGACCTTGGTGGACTCCAAGACCGCCGAAGAAGTGGAAGACCTCGTACTGCTCGCACGCCGAAGGTCGTCAAAAAGCGGATAGCAAGAAACGCGACT